TATATATATATATATATATATATATATATATATATATATATATATATATATATATATATATATATATATATATGTATGTATGTATATATATATATATATATATATATAAATAAGTTGTGGGCTTTTTTCTATCGCTTAAGTACCCTATCATGTTGATATATTTAACAACAATTTTCTCATTCTCATTTTTCAGTACAACTATATTCGTGACAAACTCAAAATTACACCGTTTAATTGGTTTTGATGCATCATATATGCAATGCATCAATTTGTAATATTCAAAAATGGTATGTTAAGGGTCACATTCGGCAATGCATCAGTGCTCAATTTTCAGATATGGTTTATTGTAAATAACTCCTCTCAACTTTGAAGTAGCTAAATATATTTTTGAAGGCCATGAGACCTCAAAATTCATATGCAATATGACTTCAATTTCTTTCAGACATTTTATCAAATAGGTAAGGTACACTTAACATTGCTAAATCAGATCTTGCCCGTGGTTATTATTACTTGTGCTTAACAAATATAATAGTTCTTTGGAGACGATAAAAATAACGGAAATAAAAAAAAATTCCTAACCTTATATAAAGTCCATCTCTTTCAATTGAAGATGATTATTTTACTACTTGAAAGCATAAAAGAAAGTCCACCCATCTTTATTAAAGGATGCAGATGATAGAATATGGAGATTTTTGGGGAAGCTCACCTACTCGAAATATTATTATTTCATTTATTAGTTTCATAAAAAAAGTGAAAGGATGATTATTGCTAAGTTTAGGATAGTAACAGAATATTTCAGCTGAGGGATGTTCGCTCATATACCGGAACTACGCTTCTATTTCTTTCCAAATATTATTACACCCTTCATTGGTTAAATTTTCAAGTAGACCCAAACATTAACATCAAATTCTAGTTCTCTTCTTCAAACATCAAAATAAGACTTTTGTCGACTTTGATCCATTTTAAGCTCTCACCAATAAGTTAAACCTTTTTCATATCCTCATAAACCAACTCGGGCCCTATCAAAGCAACCTCGAAAATCTCAAACCAACAAATCCTACTATAAAGAGCTTAGTGACAAATGACTAACATATAAAAATAGTTTGTCAATCTTTAATTGCAAACGTATCAGTTCTAGGTAATAGACTCACATAGCATAAGAAACTAAGTGTCTTGAAATAGTCTAAGTGAGACTTTTTTCGAAGTAACATTTCATAAGAGGATTTACCCCGTAGAACAGTTGATGACAACCTATTAATTATATATGCAGAATTGAGAATACAATGACCTCAAAAGTAATAGGAATGTGACCTTGAAACTTAAAGGCTTTTGCCAATTCTAGCAAGTGTCTGTGCTTCTCTCAGTTACAGCATTTTGTTAAGGGAAATATAAGAACAAGTTCTCTTATGCATAATCCCTAGGTCCTTAAACAATTCACCTTGATCAGTGCGCACAAAGTCTTGATATAGCGTGGTTTGACGGTATTTTTAATGCTTTTTTTCCTTAAGTTGAGTGTGTGTCCAAAAGCCTTTTTAGATAAGTTTTTATGTAAGTTTCTCTTTATTTGCAAGAAATCTATCTAAAAGATGAACGGGGAGGTTTTTGAGCAAGAAATGCAGAAAAGTACCACCTACGGAGCTTGTGACAGTCCGTCGTGCTTGTGACGGTCCGTCGGTGGCATCGTAGTGAATCTGCTGAAGGAAGATGGGGAAGTCTGACCAAGTGTGGGGTTACGAAATGCGTGACGGACCATCGTAGCCATGACGTTCCATTCTGTTGGTTCGTCATGAAGATGATAGAAGTAGTCCCAGTACCCAAATTCCAAGACTTCGAGTATTATGGATCGGAGACCCTCGACGGACCTTTGTGCCTATGATGATCCATCATACCTACCATCGAGGATATTGACGAGAGCAGCAGAAGAATTTGCAAAGTATGGGATGACAGATTCTATGACAACCCGTTGTGACCACGACGACCTGTCGCGAGGTCCGTCGATCCAGACGCGTTTTGACAGATTTCCAGCAAATAGAGTCTTTTACTTATTATTTGATAAGTAAGTTTGAGCGTATAAAATTATGGCGTCACTGCAGAGGAAAGTATCTTTTAGATTAACTTAAACTTAATAATATAGCTTAATCAATATTTTCTTAATTTTCTTTTGTTTTCTTTTGTTTTTTTTATTCTTGCATAATTGTGTTCCTTGTATGGCAAATACACGTGGTGGAAGTGAACCCTTGTTTCCCTACGATCACAAATTAGAGCGTACACTACGCAACATGAATAGAAACTTGGGTATTAGTGATGATGATCCAAACAAGAACATCCCAGCGTCGGTTGATGTTCATGGTCAGTTGTTAACCAATGCTCCGGGTGAAAACCAACAGAGGGGACAAAATCCCGCTCCACGGCCCCAAGAATACTACAGAAGCTATGACAATATAGCAGACTCCGATGGTCCACTTGTCTTGCCCCCTCTACCACCAGGCCACACCTTTGTGGTAACTATTAGCCTGATGCAAATGCTCTCTGCCAGAGGTTTGTTTTCAAGGCTACCTTCTGAGGATCCACATGACCATATAGCTAAGGGAAGAGCAGTGTGTAAAAGCTGTGTAGGGAGGCCTGACATGGACTTTGATGTAATAGGGATAAGAGTGCTTCCTCTCTCACTGACGGGAGAGGCTGCTAGTTGGTTCACTGAGCTTCTTTATAAATCAATTTTCACTTGGAACCAACTAAGGGACGTTTTCTTAGCACGCTACTACCCGGTCTCCAAGAAACTAAACCACAAAGACAGAGTGAACAACTTTGTGGCACTACCAGGAGAGTCTGTTAATAGTTCTTGGAATAGATTCACCTCGTTTCTCAGAAGCGTCCCCAATCATCGTATAAATGATGAGTCACTGAAGCAATACTTCTATCAAGGACAGGATGATAATAATAAAGCGGTGTTGGATACTATAGCGAGTGGTTCTTATGGGGAGTGTCCTTATGCTGAGATTGCTAAAAAGTTCGAGAAAATCTCCCGGAACAATAAAGCTTTGAGTACTAGGAAGTCAGATACTGGGAGATATACCTCTATAGTGCAGTCCACTCACAACCCGTCCACAGATGAGATTTGTGAAGAGATGGCTCAGATGAGATTTGAGCTTGGATTGGTATTAAAACATGTCACTGGGGGTGTAGAAAAGATAAATGCAATCAACTGTTTGTCGAAACAACCACCACCAAATGATGAATGCTATTGTGAGGAGGATTCCTATGCGGTAAATGAGCAGATGGGGGGTTTCCGACTGAGTGCCCATGTCTCTAATCAGGAGAATTGGCGCCAAGGTAAAGGGAACCAAGGTCGGATCTATGGTAACTATAACCGTGAGGGTCATTATGTTTGAGAAGGAAATTACAACCCCGACAACAACTTCAACAGGGGTAACTATGGTAATAGAAATGATAGTAATAGGCCCTATGTTCCTCCTCAAAATCGTGAAGTTACTGCTAGGGATGGTGGATATAGTATGGCGCGAGTTAAGGATATGTTGCATAAAATGATGAGGAGATTCGATGCTAGTGATGAGCATACTATAGAGTTAAGGAATGATTTAGCGGGTATTGGGCAGAAATTCGATACACATGCAATATCGATTAAGCATCTTGATTTACAATTGGCCCAATTATCTGCAACTATGAACAAGTGGCAATCGCGCACTCTTCCTAGCAACACTGTACAAAATCCAAAAAATGATGGACATTGTATGGCAATCACTACTCGCGGTGGTAAGCAAACAATTGATCCACCTATGCCGTCTAATGAGAAAAAGGTGACTAAAGATACTAATAAAGTGGTAGAGGTAAATGGTGAAGTAGAAGATAACACTGGAAAAAATGCTGAAGTGCCTAAAAAGGTAACTCCCAGGCCTAGACCTCCCTCCCCCATTTCCTCAATGATTAGTCAAAAGGACGGAGGATGGTAAATGTCGACATTTTATAACTATGTTGAAGCAACTTTCTATCAATATAACTTTGGTAGAAGCTTTAGAACAAATTCTCGGTTATGCCAAGTTTATGAAAGATCTGGTTACAAAGAAAAGATAGGTCACTTTTCAGGATGATGATAGAATGCACCATTGTCGCGCAATTGCTACAAGATCTCCTGTACGAAAGAAAGAAGATCCGGGTGCGTTCACTATTCCTTGTACAATCGGGCTATTACATTTTTCGAAACCATTATGTGAACTCGGGGCAAGCATAAATCTCATGCCCCTCTCGATTTACAAGAAGTTTGGTTTGGGTGATCAAAAGCCCACTGTGATGATCCAAAGCCCACTGCGATGCGGCTACTGATGGCTGATCGAACAGTAAAAAGGCCTATACGGATACTCCACGATGTGCTAGTAAAAGTTGAGTCGTTTATATTTCCGGCAGACTTTGTTATTCTTTATTGTGAAGTCGATTTTGAAGTGCCCATTATTCTAGGGAGGCCATTCCTTGCTACGGGAAGAGCCTTAGTAGATATGGAAAAGGGACAGATGAATTTTTGGTTGAACAATGAGGAAGTGACCTTTAATATTTGTAGGTCAATGAGGCAAACTGGTGAGCTCCAATCGGTATCTATTATTCCTACAACGTTGGAGACTCATTTGAGACACAAATAGAAGAATGTCTAGGTGTAGAATCATTGGCGGCAGTGATAATGAATTTTGATAACAATTCCATTAAAGAGTATGAGTCATTAGTCGCGGCTCTTGATTGAGGTGATGTTCGGTTTAAAGCTAAGAAATATGAGTTAGATATGAAGAATCGCGAGTCTCCACCTGCGAAACCATTAGGCTCCAAAGTTAGAATTAAAAGTTCTCCCACCTCATCTCAGGTATGAATTCTTAGGAAAGGGTGACATATTGCCGGTAATCATTGCATTAGACCTGAATGAACAACAAGTTGAGAGTTTGGTGAAAGTGCTAAAAAGGTTCAAAAGAGCTATTGGGTGAACTATTGCGGATATTATTGGGATCCCTCCCGGTATTTGTTCTCATAAAATCCAACTCATGCCCGATCATAAGCCAAGTATTGAGCACCAGATACGCTTAAATTCACCTATGCAGGAGGTCATGAAGAAGGAAATCATTAAGTGGTTGGATGCCAGCGTAATCTATCGGGTCGCCGATAGTAATTGGGTATGCCCTGTTCAGTGTGTACCTAAGAAAAGGGGAATGAATGTGGTTCTCAATGATAAAAATGAGCTTGTTCCAATAACACCAGTTACTGGATGGAGGGTGTGTATGGATTACCGCAGATTAAATGCATGGACTGAAAAAGACCATTTTTCTATGCCCTTCATAGATCAGATGTTGGATAGACTTGCCAGAAAAAGGTGGTACTATTTTCTTGATGGATATCCGGGGTATAATCAGATTTTTATTACACTAGAAGATCAAGAGAAAGCCACTTTTACTTGTCCATATGGGAGCTTTGCGTTCAAAAGAATGTCATTTGGGTTGTGCAACGCACCCACCACATTTCAGAGATGTATGATGTCGATATTTTCCGACATGGTGGAAGATACTATAGATTTTCTTATGGATGATTTTTTTGTTGTTGGTGACTCATTCGAGCTGTGTTTGAAAAATTTATCTGAGGCCTTTAAGAGATGTGAAGACTGCAATTTAGTACTAAATTGGGAAAAATGCCATTTCATAGTGAAAAAAGGTATTGTTATGGGTCATCGCATTCCAGAAAGGTGCATAGAGGTTGATCGATCTAAAGTCGAGGTAATAGAGAGACTTCCCCCACCTATCCCTGTAAAAGGTGTGACAAGCTTTCTTGGGCATGCAGGTTTATACGGAAATACATCAAAGATATCAAAGATTGCACATCCGTTGTGCAAACTGCTAGAGAAAGATTGTAAATTTTGTTTTGATGAATCCTGTCATAAAGCATGACGAGCTAAAAGAAAAATTGGTGTCTGCACCTATCATTATTTCTCTAGATTGGAACAGTTCATTTGAGGAGATGTGCGATGCTAGTGGGGTTGCTCTTGTTG